CTTTCCAAACAATTTATATTCATGTTTATGTATGAATATTTCCATTTTACCATTTGATAGTAGGCACAAATAATATCTTAATATAATTCATATTGTCTTTGATAAAGAGTGACATTGAAAATATTTCTTATGATCATTCAGACCCCAGATTTCATTTAAGTTTTAGGTGTCTCATTATCAAGTGTTTACCTGCAGGCTTCTCTTCAGAGTGTGGTGTTGCTTGGTATCTCTACCAAGGCTTACAGACTATGCTTCAACCCCCCTGTTAATCAGTTCCTTATTGGAATTGTTTAAAGCTCTTGTGAGACAGCTCTCTCCATTTTTATTTCTATGGCATAATGTTGGTGAATGTGACTGTTATTTAGAATGTGGAGACCTTTTCATTGCATCTGTGTATATGTGTTAAATACACCCATTTATCAAAATGTAACTCAGAACTACCAGTTTTTGAGTGCCATTTCCATGCCAGAAAGGTGTCAGTCTTTGATACATGAACAAATTCCCTGGAAATAGAAATCTGTTTGGCCTCTGGCTCATAGAGTTTATTCTCTGCCTCCTGCCCATTTTTTTTCTGAGCACTCAGATGCAGGCAGGTGTACTGTGCCTGCCCAGTCTCTATTATCATTGCTGTGGAAACTGGAATATGTCAGTGCCTGGGTCTTTCCCACACACTGCTGTTCGGCCACACCTGCTCTGGTTTTCTTTGTGCATGTTGTGGTGGTGATTGAGGATCCTGTGCTGTCCAGTGGTTCAGTCATGTGATCTCTTATTACAGTGTTCCTGTATTCCTCACCAGCCTAACAAATGAATGGACATTTACCCAATAAAGTCTCCTTGCTCATACTGACTGCCTTACAATGCATAATCCACCTTTACCCAGGAAATAAGTATCTAAGCAACTTGCTGAAACGATCCTCATGATAATTAAGTTTGTCTCGGTTCTGTTAACTGCTTGTATACTAGTTTTAGCCAGGAGAGAACACCAATTCTTTTGCTCCTGTTGCCTTATCAGATTCTACTTTACTCCTTAGTTCATTGCAGTGACTCTTACCTCTTAATCAAATGAAAATTCACTCTGCCATCAAGTCCCTGACATTCTTGTAGCCTCCATAAAGTTTGTCCATCATATCTCACTTTTCTTCACACCTGCAGGGGTTTCCAGGTATAAGGGCTTATTGGACTGTGAAACTGTTTCTGAGAAGGCCACTGCATAAAGTAGTATATTGCATTGTGTACAGGACTTCTGTTTCCTGCTCTCGACAAGGGCTGGTGGCCTGGGAATCAATTTGGCTTCAGCGGACACAGTCGTCATCTTTGATTCTGACTGGAACCCCCAGAACGACTTGCAGGCACAAGCCCGAGCCCACAGAATTGGTCAGAAGAAGCAGGTCAGTGAAGAGGGGCCTCTAGATATGGCTTGGAGGGGAGGGGGCAGGGGAGGTTATTCAGCCCTTTCAGGATGTTTGTAAAATGATTTTTTTTTTTTTCCCCTGTTTTGTCTTCATTTCCCCAAGGGTAGATGTCTGTTTGTTAATTAGTACAGAGAAGCTGTCTTTGGGGCTGAGATGAGCTTATAGATATGAAACTATTCTCTTTTGCTGTTTGAAAAGTATACCACCAGTAACTTTCTGGCTTACTCAAAGATATATGATGAATAGACTTAGAATTGAAATTTTCCATCTATTTTATTATGGAAAAGTTGTTAAAATATTCTAACATTGTTCAAGATGGTCTACGTTTATTACACACAACCAGTATTAGCTCTGTGGTATGTTGGAAACGTACACACTTGTTTCCTTCGTAGATGAATTTCAAAGTCTGCTCTAGTACTGGGTACCTCTTTAAGTTTCATATGTGGCCAAAGATTCAGTTTCAGCGAGACAGATCATTCTTTAGCAGCATTTTTATTGTTAGAACAAGGTTATAATAATTCCTTAGAGGCTATTTTATTTAAGAATGTAACGTGCTGCAAATAGTAAAAATATTGCATGTACAATACTTAAGTTGTCTGCTTGGATGGATGGCTTACAAGTGGTATGCCATAGCAGAGAACAAATATTTTTTTATTTTCCCCCTTGGTTTTAGGCAGAGGTAACTTTTTTGTATGTGTGATCAGGCATAAGCATAACATTTCCTTTTCCTACAGGTAAATATTTACCGCTTGGTTACAAAGGGGACCGTGGAGGAAGAGATCATAGAACGGGCCAAAAAGAAGATGGTATTGGACCATCTGGTGATTCAGCGCATGGATACCACTGGCCGGACAGTTCTGGAAAACAACTCTGGAAGGTCCAAGTAAGTGCCAGAAAGATGGGAGAGGTAGCAGAGTCAATTTTTTATCAACATTTGGTATAATTCATTTTTCTACTAGGATGCTTTACAACAGATATTAATCCATTAATTACCTGGAAAAGGCCAAGCCAAAACTGCAAGAAGATGGCATTTTCATTTTATTTTGCTCTCCCTGTTTCTCCTTCTTCTTCAGGTTCTTTTTTTTTTTTTTTTTTCCATATCAGCTCTTTTCTTATGTGCCGTCTCTCTTTCTTTCCTGCCCTCCTCTCTTGCCTTTTGCTTTTGGCTCTGCCTGTGACATATGACACAGCAGCAGCAGTGGCAGCTGTGTGCTCCCCATTAGGCTTTCATCCTGGCACAATGTTGCCTTGGACTTTTCAGCAGTGAGAATGCACCAGATTGAATTGGTATCTATTTCTTACTGTTGGTAAAAATGTTTTTGTGGAGATTATCTTTCCTATTGAAAACAGAAGGCTATAAAAGGAAAGTAGTTAAGTTTTAGTTGGCTTTATTTGGAAACACAACTATTTCTCTTAGAGAGTTTACATTTTGACCAAATTGTTGAGTATCTTCTGAGGCAGTCCTACAACTTGTGTTACAGGTGAGATCGAATGAGCCCTTCCTAATTAGATGATGATAATTTTCCATTAAAGAAGAAACTAGGCAGAAAAAGCTTGTTCTTTTATTTTGGACTAGAGATGAGGAGTTTGAAAATTCATGGTGAATGGTAGCTTTCTGAGTGAAAGGACAAAGAGAGAACTCCCTTCTCTCATGTTGCTAATTATCTTTCTTGCTTAACCATGTAACAGATGAATCGACAGGAAAATAATTGATTTCTTAGTCTTTTGTTAGGTTAGGTTTACCACTGCAGACTCATCCTGTGGATTAAAAAACATGAAATATTTGTGAGATCACTTTTCTTGTGGCAGAATTTATATCTTCACCAGTAATTTGCCCTCTTTATGAAGAATAGATATTTAGAACTCCATAGAGGTTATCTGACATTCCTAAAAGATTACAACTACATTTTATTTCTGCAGTTCAAATCCTTTTAATAAAGAAGAGCTGACAGCGATTTTGAAATTTGGAGCGGAGGATCTCTTCAAAGAACTCGAAGGGGAGGAATCAGAGCCCCAGGTAGTCAACAATAAGGGAAAAAAGTTTCTTGATAAGTGTCATCTGTGAGAGTCTGAATTTTTCTGGAAGCGATTCTGAGTCCGAGGCTTTTATAAGGAAATGGTAGTTACTTGCAGAACATAGTTTCTCTTTTTTTCTTACAGGGCTAAAAGCTCTTACTAAATTGACTAGGAAAGAG